AAATAATGCAATATATGTATAATATCTAATATTTTCATCAAATAAAATATTATTTGTGAATAGAATAAGAAAAAAATAAAACAATAGTAATGAAATGGATAAAAGAAAAATAAAATCTGAATTTTCTTATTTAGGTATGAATACCATAATCTAGAAACAAAAGGCTTTTAGAATTATTGCCTTTTATTGTTGCTTGAGTTTGAATATATGGACTTTGTAAGAAATTGATTCTCATAAATAATTATCTTAATATTATCAATTTTGAGTTTTATATTTAAAAAAATATAAATTTTGTAGTACATAATGTGGATTCTAATAATGACTTCGTAAGAATAAAGTTCACAGATGACTGAGAGACATAATATAATAGAATTTTAATTAAGTCTCTTCCTCTTAAATATTTTAACAAATGATATACTTCTCAATATTAACGTCTCATTGTTTTGTTTTGGTTTGTTTTGTTTTGTTGCAGAGTGAAGAAAGAATCTTTATCTTGAATTTTCGAAAGTTTATGTATGATGCAATATAAGGTGGTCAATAAAGCATTAAATAAGTCATTAGACACATAAATATTGTAAATCCGAACGATGTGAAAGTTGCTTTTTTTAGTAAACAACTCTAATATCATTGCGACAATTAAGACGATGGTCAATAATTTACAAACAGTAGATTATGTAGTTCGTCTATTTTCTAAATAAATAACATTGAAAAGAGAATGTCGAAGGTTGATCAAAACATTTTTTAATGTTTGAATGAAGTTTTCACTTTTTTATAGGTAGATATACTGTAACCAAGATTTTGAAAAGTCAACTTTATTTGAAAATAAAATTCCTTCTCACCCCGTAGAGTGATGCCTATATGGGATAGGTACCAATTTGTCTATATGAAGAGAGAGAGAGAGAGAGAGAGAGAGAGAGAGAGAGAGAGAGATGTAATAGTTTATACAATAATAATAATAATAATAATAATAATAATAATAATAATAATAATAATAATAATAATATCAGTAATTTCAATGATACGGTTGCTTATTTTACAGAGATATTCATGAACTGTAATAGACATACCTTATAAAGTCATACAATCACGAAATTTGACTATATGTTAACTATTTCGAAATTTTTGAATAAAGTAGTTGTATTGCTAAATGAATTAAGACAAATTTTGCAATACTATTGATGTATGGATCTCCAATATGACGTACCAAAATGAAAGAAAATTACTCGTGAATCATCTATGATCTAACATAAATAAATTAAAAAACTAATGCATGTATAATCTACATTAGGTCCTTATTTAGTATTTAGTGTTTTTTTTTCATTAGAGAGCCATTTTTCATATTTTTGTTGTGATTGTAATATGTTATTTAATTCTTTTTATATTGAGACATTATTATGTTATTTTTGAAAAAAAAAAAACATTAGGAGCTTATTTGGTTTACATTTTGTTTTATTCCTGTAATTATATGGTTAATAAATTAATAACTTCATCTTACTAAACTTAAACGGCAAAAAGCATTCATCACCACGTGCATTGCACGTGTATTTACTAGTGATATAAAAGGGTGTTGAAATATCACTTGTGAGTTATCCACATTGATTTGATAGGGTAAATGAGTCTAGTTTATAAGTCTAGTTGGTTACTCCTCCTACTGCCAATTGGTTTTGGGATAGAACCTCACTTAAACTTCATTTGGGCTAACCCTCTTATGGTGCACTTCACCTGTGTGGGACCACACTCGTTTTGCCCCCGTTTGACATGGTATCAGAGCGGGCCTAATTTGGGACCTGCGATGATTTAAAAAAAAAAAAAGAAAAAAAAATGTACCCGGCCTGGTTGTAGGCACGGGCTGAAAAATGTACCCGACCTAGTTGGAGGTGTGGGTTGATGAAGGGCTCATAAGTGAGGCGTGTTGGAATATCACTTGTGAGTTATCCCATATTGATTTGATAGGGTAAATGAGCCTAGTTTATAAGTCTAATGGGTTACTCCTCGTACCACCAATTGATTTGGAATGGAATCTCACTTGGACTTCATTTGGGCTAACCATCTTATAGTGCACTTCACCTGTGTGGGACCGCACTCGTTTTGTCCCCATTTGACAAAGGGGGTAATAAGATATGATTAAAAATTCCTCTAACTTGATTGTGGAGTCTGGCGCCATAAACACTGCTCGACCTTGTTTTACGAACATGCTTGTTTATAAATCCAATCAAAAAAAAATTCAATCATTTTTAATTCAACCATTTTTTTTAACTCAACTTTAACTCAACTCATTATCATCAATATAATTAAATGATATCAATCAATTAACACACTATCATCAATATTATCAATATAATTAAATAATATCAATCATTCATTCTTACACACAACATCAACCTTAATTTACTATTCATCTACTAACATAATTTTAACTAACCATCACATCACATTTTCTCTCTCCTACTTTTATTTATATTAAAAATTATTTTAATATACACATTAACAATTAACCATACCAACTTTTTCAAATTTAACCAACCCAAACCAAAAACTCAATCAAA